TATCTATCTATCTGTCTGTCTGTCTGTCTGTCCGTCCGTCCGTCCGTCCGTCCGTCATCTATCTATCTATCTATCTATCTATCTATCTATCTATCTATCTATCTATCTATCTATCTATCTGTCTATCTGTCTATCCATCCATCATCTATCTATCTGTCTGTCTGTCTGTCTAAAACCAATATAGCCTAGATTCTGTACGTAATAAAAAATAAAGTATGCTAATTTTCTTCTGTAACGCTCTGTATCATGTTACATTGTTGTAGGTTTTTGTTTGCAACAATCATATTTACTGAAAATCTGTAACTGAGGCTTACACGTTTCCTGTGAGGCTTGCTATTGTACTTTTATCTCAGTTTAAGCTAGTTTTGTTCTTGGTTAAAGAGAGATGTTCTTCATTCACAAAATTGACATCCTTTAAGCAATAAAGCAAATGGTTATGTCATCCTGTGTTAATTGTGTCCAAACATAGAAACCTTACTTGACATAATAGAATGTTTAAATTGATATTCTGCCCATACATAATAATTTTTTTATGAAACTTATTTTAATTATACAAAAACCAACATTTAGTTCCGATATCCTGTTAAATTAATTTTTGTATACATTTTTTATATTTATATTTTTAGGTTATATTCTGTGTTTTTATTACTCAAACCAGGGTTATTCAAATATGGATTCATAAATGTATTAAATTGTATACACTGCCGTTCAAAAGTTTGGAATCAGATTTGGAATAAATTTTTATTACTTTTTAAAAAAGTCTCTTATACTCATCAAGACTGCATTTATTTGATCAAAAATACAGAAAAACAGTATTATTGTGAAATATTATTACAATTTAAAATGTTTTATTTCAATATACTTTAAACTGTAATGTATTTCTGTGATGCGCAGCTGTATTTTCAGCATCATTCCTCCAGTCTTCAGTGTCACATGATCTTCAGAAATCAGTATAATATGCTGCTTTATTATCAATGTTGGAAACTGGTGTGCTGCTTAATATTTGTTTTAGAACCTGTGATTCTTTTTTCAGGATTCTTTGATGAATAAACAGTTAAAAAGAACAATGTTTATTCCAAATAGAAACCTTTTGTAACAATATAAGTCTTTACTGTCACTTTTGATCAATTTTACACATCCTAGGCTGAATAAAAGTATTAATTTCTTTAAAAAAAAAAAAGTACTGACCCCAAACTTTTGAACGGTAGTGTCCCACATTGTGATAAAAAAAAAAAAAGTAATATCCTAATTTATTACAAAATAGCCTACAGGTTATTTTAAAATATGAGATTATTTTCTAGTGGTTGCACATCTCATTTATTGCAAAAGAAGAAAGTTTGAGAGTGTCCTTGGTGAAGATACTGTCAGGTGATATGCTGGAGTCTCTTATTGTGTGGACTTGATTTTATAGAAATGTGGCTGAATCCAGCTAACCAGCAGAAGAAACTCTTCCTGGTGTAAGCAGTTCGAGAGAACCAAAATATACTAATTAATTTGCTCGTATAATCAAATTCATGCTGACTGGAATACATTTGTTACCGTTTACAAAGTGTCTCTACTCAGTCATTTTGTATGTTTATTTATTTATAAAGAGGGTTAATACTCCAGACGGATGTTTAAAATATATATATGTGGCATAAAAACAGACCTTATCTAATAATATTGTGCCCCAACAATTAATCATTCATTTTTAATGCCTAATTATGTGTGCTTAAATATTAGTTTATATTCCTACATCTGCAGTGCATAATAATTTCACTAATTTAGTATGCAAGTTTGCATTTCTTTCCAATGTAAATATACGATCTTCAATATATGTGGTGTTTCATATAATATTTAAGTTATATGCATGGAAAGTCTTCATATATACAGTACTTGTTCTGAAATTGATGGCACAGACTGAGAGTCTTAATCAAGCATCGCCATCTAGTGGAGAGGAATTATTGCTGACTCAACAGCAAGCTTATCCAATAATTAAGAAATGTTAACTAGTACCCTTTTATCAGTGCATTGGCTGATCTAGATGTATAATGTGCAGATACTGTACTGTGTCATTACACATTTTATACAGTTAAGTCAGTCAGTGATAAATCAATAAGGAGTTTAATGCAGTTGCAGAGGTCACGTTAGGTCAAATGAAAGTTGAAATTCTCAACCCAAGCATCCCTAAAGAAATGTAATTCCTCTGCGCTACACAGATCTGGACTTATGAAGGCTTTCAAGTTCTTTATATTACTGCTGACAGACACATTTCTCAATACTTAAGTCACTTTTCTAAAACTCTCCTAAGCCACTTTTGTCTTGGCACAGCAGATTCAAATTGCTCTAAAACTACCGAAACACTTCATACATTTCCAAATCCAGATCATTCTGATCCACATGAAGCTTTCTGAACAACTGGCCCCTGGTGATTGTCAAAACAAACCTGTGATATTAACATATTATTATTGCTTTATCAGAAGGGAGTAATTATGCTTAACATAGTGTGGATATAAATTACTGATCCACGTAATAAACTTCGTCTGATGTGAGAAGTCATGTAGCTGATCTGGAATGAGAGAAATGCAATAGAAATCTTTGTTTTTGTGTGTGTGTGTGTGTGTGTGTGTGTGTATGTGTATGTGTGTGCGTGTGTATGTGTGCTTGTTTTGACTGTACTTGTGAGGACCAAATGTCCTCACTTATATTGTGAAATACTTTGTGTTTGTGTGTGTGTGTGTGTGTGTGTGTGTGCGCACGCGCACATTTGTTTGTTTGTGTGTATGTGTGTGCGTGTGTGTGTATGTGTGTGTGTGTATATGTTTGTGTGTGTGTGTGTGTGTGTGTGTGTATGTGTGTATGTGTGCTTGTTTTGACTGTACTTGTGAGGACCAAATGTCCTCACTTATATTGTGAAATACTTTGTGTGTGTGTGTGTGCGCGCACGCGCACATTTGTTTGTGTGTGTGTATGTGTGTGCGTGTGTGTGTGTGTATGTGTGGTGTGTGTGTATGTATGTGTGTGTGTGTATGTGTGGTGTGTGTGTGTATGTCTGTGTGTATATGTTTGTTGTGTGTGTGTGTGTGTGTGTGTGTGTATGTGTGTGTGTATGTGTGTGTGTAGAGAGGGGTGGGCTCTGCTCAGACAAAGAGACACATGGCAGGGTGCAGCTCAGCAGCTGTTCTCCGGTCCACACTCCTCTTTTGCTCATCATCACTGTGGCACTCTCTGTCTAGGCCTTGATTATGAAAGTCTTTGCCCGCTGGTAAACATGCACCTTCCCTACAGATAAACTAGACAGCATTCTCTCTCTGCATCTGCTCTGTGAACACATTCCAGACACTGAAACAACATTCAGTCTTAAAGACAGCGAAGCAGGGAACTAGCCTTTGTAGAGAGTTTATAGGATTGTCTAAAACGTATTTTAAAAGCTTCCTTTGTGAAAAAGAAGTGCGTTTAATTGCATTGAATGTGCACTTGTAGTTCACTTCAAACCTTAAAAGTATATTTTAAAAAACGGTACATGCAGATAACATAATAATATTAATGAAATGAGTGTTTCTTAACACACTTTTAAACACTTAAATAGTGCACTTTGTAATACTGTCAAAATAAAAGTTTTACTTTAAATGACATTTTAAATGATTGTTTCATAATCTTTTGTTGTGTTTTGAAAGATATACTTCATTGTTTTGTTACAAATATTTAATTAGAAATATATTTAAACACATAGCACACAATAAATCACAATAAAGTAAATTTTAATTAGCCAGAATTGCTTGTCAGTACATTTGACAGTAAACTTCAACCATAATTCATTTTAGCGTTTTGAAATTATGAAATTGCCTAGATGTACGTCAGAAAGGTTTCTTAAATCCAACTAACTGCACTTAATATAAATGTTAAGTGTAACACCTTTTCATTTAATTCCAAATAGCATTGATTTAAGTGTCCCGAAAACATTACTTGTAATTCACACTGTACATATTCTTTTAAAGTGTATTATTTACATGAAAAATTGTCTTGCTCATTTTAAAAAGCGTTTATTATCTTCATTTATCTTAATTGTCAGGAATCATTTGACAATCAGTGCCTCTGTTTCCATAGGTGAGTGAAAACATGAAAACTAAACTATTTAAGTATGTATGTAGCTGTCTGTCTGACTCCAGCGTTTGCAAGCTTTCCGATTCATTAACAAATGATTCTTTGGAGTCGGTTCTTTGAAATGAAACCGATTCGTCGTTCTCAAAGTAATAAAGGTTGAGTTTAGTGTTAACCGGGTGAAGAAAGTAGGGCCACTTATTATTATTATTACTAGCCTATTACTGTTATGTGTAAGAAAAATGCAATTATTGCTAAATTAATTCTTTGTTAACTTTGCAGTAGCCATGATAATGAGCTTTTGTTATTAGCTTCTACTCTAGCTACTATATCAGTATAAGAGATGGTGCAAATAAATTCTGATTACTTAAAAATAGAATATAATAAACGTTTATTAAAACATGACATTTGGGTACTCGTCGTAAAAAACAACAACAATGAATCAAATTTTGAACCGGTTCAGTGACAAGAACTGTTCGAGCGAACCGATTCGATTAAATGATTCGGGCTTTCTAACCCTGAAGTTGGCGCCGCCTGGTGGTAGAAATCACACATGACACCTGGCTCATGCCATTTAGCTTATATGATTTGTACAGAACCAAGGAGAGTTTACATGCAAGTGGTTGGGGAAATTCATCCAAAATTATACAAAATATTAATTTAACAACAACACAACCAACGAGTTTTAGCATTTAATGAGATTTGTATTATATACTGATTTAAACGTCAGCCTTTTGTGGAAATGATGAGTGCTATAATGAATCTGTCACAAAATGCTCTTCCAATCGCAGAAATAATACAGTTCAGCCTTGCATAATACAATGCAAGACCGCATTAATGTAGGATATATTCATAATAATCTGTAACAGCAACAGTGAAGGCATTAATAATGTGTTCTTGCTTCAGTTCTGAACAGTTCAAAACTGAAGTTTTATTATAATATATATATCAATCATTTATGTTTCAAAGTTGCACTCATGGTTTCCTGCTATATTGATTTTTATGCAACGTGTTTTTGATTCTCCATGTTCTTTGTGTTACATTTGATGTTTATTACATTACTATGTCCACTGGCACTTCACTGACCGAGGTTCTTCTGTGTAATGGATAATAAGATCTGCTGTTGATTATTTAGCTATTAATTTTATGCTTCACCAGTTGTTGGAGCCTTAAATCGAACGAATTTAAGGCTCCAAAAATTCCATAAATTCTCCAAAATTTGTTTCTGAAGCAAATAGTTCTAGAAAAGCAATCTGTGTAGAGCTTGTCACTGAGTTGACGTTGACAGCTCATGCAATTTCAATTAATATGATTTACCATTTTGCAATCTAAATATAAATTATAAAGTGTGAAAATGGTCATTTGTTTTGCAGTCCAATTAAGTATCCGCATTCTCACTTTTATGTTTTCTCAGAGTGAGAGGCTCCTGATTAAGGGCGGTCGGATTGTGAACGATGACCAGTCCTTCTATGCAGACATCTATATGGAGGATGGAGTCATCAAGTAAGCTGAGTTCATATACAGTACAGCCACACTGATCTAAATCCAGGTTCTTGAAATGAAAGCCAAACCCATATGTATCAACATTGTTGATTAAACTCACATCAGATTTTCAACAACCGCTTCACCTAAGGCAACTGATCATATTTCCATTCATATTTCTTGAGAACGGCTTACTCCTGCTTAGAACAAATCCGGCTAATATTTATATTTCCAAAATTTTGTATATTTCCATAAAATGTTATGCGTATTTCATTAAAAAACTAAACAAAAACAAAAACCTTGTAATGTGTAATCAAAATGCCATAACGCAAACATATGAGAGTGTAAGTGTTACATTGAAAATCTTTTGAAAACAATAGAACAAGCATTTGTACATATATAATTGTAAAATTTTGAATACTTTATTAAAAAACTAATGTTAACTGTACAAAATTCTAGTTATGAATATATATGTATATATGTGACCCAGGATCACAAAACATGTGTGTGTGTGTGTGTGTGTGTGTGTGTGTAGCATAGGTTTTCTTGCGATTACACCATTTGACAGTCTTATCCAATATCTCCATGTAATAAAAAGGTCAAATTATTGATATTTTTAATATTCTGGCCATTACTCATCAACAGGAGGGTCTACAGGCGTCTACAGACCAAAGATGTTCAGTTACTGATAATATTTTAAATATTATTCTCATAATGATAGTTTTCACTTTAAAAAAAAAAAATTCAACCATTTCTTCCTTATGATCTAAGAACAGTTATACCACATTGACATTTTTAAATGGAAATAAGAAAAACAATCATAAACAAAAATGGCTATTTCCTCATCGATCCATTAACATTTATATCATAGTGTAATTAAAAATTGTCTTTCTGAATACCATCTGCTGTCAATTTTCAGGCAAATTGGAGACAACCTGATAGTCCCAGGAGGGGTGAAGACCGTTGAGGCCGATGGGAAGATGGTGATTCCTGGAGGAATTGACATCCACACCCACCTACAGATGCCCTTCAGGGGGACGAGCACTGTGGATGATTTCTCCCAGGGCACCAAGGCTGCTCTTGCTGGAGGAACCACCATGATCGGTGAGATCTGTGGTCGATTGCCAAATTTATCTGCTGGCATAGGCAGCACAAAATGAATCCCCATGGCTCCTGATGATATATTGAGGTCTTACGAAGCGAAACGATCAGTCTGTGCAAGAAACTGAACATTATTTACAACATGATTACCTGTAATCCAGAGCCTCAGGCAAACGGGGAAATATGATTATTTTCTGTGAACTGGTTTGTTTGTTTCAATGAACTAGTTGTTTATGTAATCATGCAATGACGAACGTATACACAGTTCTAATATTAAAGCACCCAATAATAATGATGTGAAATGTGGATGTTTTCCATATCTAATGCATATAAAGTTAATAAACTAGTCTTCATCAGCTCAGATTTTTACATAAACCATGAGAAACCATAAAAAGCTGTAGAACCCTGTAATATATGAATTAACTGGCAACAATATGATTTAATATTGCTGAATGAACCTAAACGTCTACTAAAAACGACTTTATACAGATTAAATCAGGTCGAAATGTCTCCTTAGCATAACAGATGCAGGTTAACACTTTTTGCAATGAAGTGCTATGATTCCCAGACAGGAGAAAGTGTGTGTGTGTGTGTGTGTTAATGAAAAGGGATAAACATTGACAACAATATTAGGCTTCCGGCGACCACACAAAGCTCCTTTATGCGGCGCACGGTAAAATTTGAGTTGTGTGGAAAGACAGCAGCCCTTTCTGACCTCCGCAGGGTACAGAGCATGAAGAAGAAGTGTCAACAGCTGGTATAAAAGAGTGGCTTGTTGTGCAGTAAACGCTGTGTTAGCACTGATTCATTTTAGAGTTAAAAACAGCTGTATATATCCCTTTGTTCCCAGAGGAAGTGTGTGGTAGATCAGACATGGAGATAATATGGAGACAATGAAGAAGCAGTGAAAATACTGAGAGGCTCCTCGCTGAATCTCTGTAGAGCGTGGCTTAGATTGGTTTACTTTAGATAAGAGAAACAATGCTGAGAAGAAGCTAGCAACTGATCAGATGTTCCTGCACTAATGGGCCGGAAATATATGCTGTAGTAATTCAGTCTGATTCTGATTCTAAAATGATTCATTATATACATTTGTTTTTCATATTAATAAATGCGTTGACCAACTTTGGAAATCAACGTTTCTAGACAAAAAAAAATAAACGTTTTTTAGACAAGGACAGTGAGGGATTAAAAAAAAAAAAAAAAGCAAAAAAGTTTTCAGAATCATTTGAGAGAGCATTGTGGTGCATTAACGAATCAATAATTTTCTCCCACCCCAGAAAATATGCTGAATTTATGATTGCAAATATATTTAAAGCAATGAATTAAAAAATAAAACAAACAAAAAATTGAATAAATGTAAAATAAAATCAAGTTCCATTGACTCGATCATCAAAAAATGTTAATATTAAATTTAATATTGCGTATTAAAGTATTGTTTACAGCGGTAACCAAGGAAACGCTGGTCACTGCTGTTCCACAAGCGCCACCTGCTGTCAGAGAGTGAATTTGCGTCTCATTCAGAGCTTCTGCTTTATTTCGTTCAAATATGTTTTATGTAGCATAATTTCACAAGGCTGAAGTCTTGTAAATTTGACTATTTCATTTCAATTAAAAACTGCTCGTGTTGCATGTATGCAGCTTCTTTGTTTGGATCGTGATTAAAATGCAGTGGTTGGCTCTGATTTTAAATGGAAAGAGCACCGGCAAAGCCTTAGTTTATTAATATGAAGGGATTTCTTTTATTTGTATTATTTATTTGATTTTAAAATTCCAATTTAGTGTTGCTATGTGACGTATTTCAGTTTCACAAAGAAATGTGCAGCATTTTATCAGAGAAATAATAAAAGGACACCTTTTCATGTCTCATTTTGTTAAAACAAATTGTGAGAAAATCGTATCGTGAATTGAATCACATCGTGAGTTGAGTGAATAGTTACGTCCCTAGTTGGTATACATGACCAGAATTTCTTGCTCCTACAAAAGTAGCCCTCCCAGCAGATTCAGACTACTTTAGAACTCCAATAGCGCACATTTTAGTAAGTGGTTTAACTCAAATACGAGCTGTGTTGTCTGAGTAAGAGAGTAACCCCTCGGTCTGTCGTGTGTGTCTCCTGCAGTGGATCATGTGATCCCGGAGCCGGGCTCTAGTCTGGTGGAGGCGTTCGAGCGCTGGCGTGAATGGGCGGATGAGAAAGTGTGCTGCGATTACTCTCTGCATGCGGACATCACCCACTGGAACGACAGCGTCAAACAAGAGGTCCTGAGTCTCATTAAGGAGAAAGGTGGGAGGTCCTTTGCTGAAATATGGCTCCTTTTCTCTAAACTCTACACACAAAACCACAAAACATGGACACAACATGCAAAATATTACGCATGTCTTGCAAAGCCAGCAAACACTTCCTTCAAAACAATTTTAAGTCTTATAAAAATGGTGTTTTTGCACAGTAACTCTAAACTCAAATGATTAACCATATACACATCAAACTACACACAGATATGACAAATGTAAAACACTTCTATCTTGTGTTTTTTGTTCGTTCAGTGTGCATTGGAGTTTGTCACAGCACTCACATATACATGCGTGTACAGAAATGCACTGTATATACAGTGTTCATACACAACTGATGAGCAACAGCTATTGAACTGAACTGAGTCAACACTGAACTGGCTTGAGCTGTATTGAGCTTTTTTACAGCAGAATTTGAATTAGTTACTGCTTTGAAACGATCTGTGTTTTATAAAGCGTTATTGAAATAAAGGTGACTTGCCTTGTATGTATATTCAGTATATATTTACAAAGAATCATACACAGAAATGCAAGGGTTTGTTTATTTGTGTCTCAAAAACACTGAGTTTTGATTTCTAAGTCATGATTATATTAGGTATATTTACACTTAAAAGAATTTATTTCTTCCTCAAAACACTGAGTTTTGATTTCGGTATTGTTAAAAAAAATGGTTCAGCATATTAAAAAAAGCCCTCTGAAGTTATAAATATAAGCAGTATGATATCCCAGAGACTGAAGTTGATTGAAGTTATTTTTGGTCATTTGAGCTATTTTTAAAAATGATGCTTAGAAACAACCTGCTTTATTACGGCTTAACCAACAAATGGTATTTTCACCATTCACTCAATTGATAAAATCCACACCCATTTTTTTTTTTGCTTTCTAGTTTGAGAATAAGAAATGCATAACATTATGGAAACAAAAATTGGTTGTGAGTGCTGGCAGAGTTTATGTTTTCTGATTTATTCTTTCTGTCCTTATAGGAGTGAACTCTTTCCAGGTCTATATGGCTTTTAAAGACCTCTATCAAATGAGCAACAGTGAGGTAACCTCAAGAAGTTATTATAAAGAAATTATACACTTTTATTTATTGTGAAAACAGAATAGTGTTGTGGATATACACATTCTTTCATCCCTTAAAAATGACTTTTGTTGGTGTAACGTAATGTTGGGTTTTTTGTTCACACAGAAGTGTTTACAAATGTCCCCTCATGGCATTTTATGAAAAAAATGGTATTTAAATATTGGTGCATATAAAAGTACTACATGTACCAATATATAAATGTTATTCTTCTATTACCTAATTTTATGAAAGTTTCTTTTAAAACAAGATTAGACTAGATTTCCACCATTTCTTATTGTAACATTTAAAGCTATTTTCTCTCTTAAAACCTCACTATTTAATATCTAATATGCTTTTTCTGTGTATGTTTAAACAGCTTTATGAGATCTTCACCTTCCTTGGAGAGCATGGAGGAATTGCACAGGTCCACGCTGAAAATGGAGAAATAATTGCTGAGGTATGTGCACCTTATGAATAGGGCTGGGCATTTTTCAAAAATATTGTATCAAAAACAAAAAATGCAATTGTATAAAAAAATGCATTTATTAATTTCATTAATTATATGACATTTCTGAAACGCCGTCTCACCGAAGCCATTATCATTTCTTGTTTGATTACCACACCTCCACACATGCGATTTCCACATTTGCAGCCTTTTTATGCTATCTTCATAATGAAAGGACAAACATTTGGACTTACAGTACGGATGAATTTTGCCAATTTTGGATTTGACATCTTTTGTAACAGTTCACTTAAGCTCGAGTGATATGCATGCTGGTTTGGAAACCAGACGTTACTCAATCATAAAATAATGTAAAATAACAGTTAAGCTCATCTAAAGAACGATGTAATTCTGAAACCTAGCTGTGGTCGCATTATATTTTTCATTGTCTTCTTGAAAAAATGTTGATGTTCCTCAGTTCCTCATGATAAACAGTTCCTTAGAGGTGTTTGTATTGTTCATGCACCATATATGTGAGCCTGGAGTACAAAAGCAGTGTTGAGTCGCTGGGGGTATTTGTAGCAATAGCCAACAATACATTGTATGGGTCAAAATTATAGATTTTTCTTTTATGCCAAAAATCATTAGGATATTAAGTAAAGATCATGTTCCATGAAGATATTTTGTAAATTTCCTACCGTAAATGTATCAAAACTTAATGTTTGATTAGTAATATGCATTGCTAAGAACTTCATTTGAACAACTTTAAAGATGATTTTCTCAATATTTAGATTTTTTTGCACCCTCAGATTCCAGATTTTCAAATAGTTGTATCTCGGCCAAATATTGTCCTATCCTAACAAACCGTACATCAATGGAAAGCTTATTTATTCAGAATTTATTCAAAAATTGACCCTTATGACTGGTTTTGTGGTCCAGGGTCACATATACAATACAATACTAAGAGTGACAGAAAAGAGACTCATCTCGTCTGCTCTGTGTGTCGTTCAGGAGCAGGCCCGTATGCTGGAGATGGGCATCACAGGACCGGAGGGACATGTTCTCAGCCGTCCAGAGGAGGTCAGTGAGCACAAAAACTGCTGGATGCTGTCCTGTGTGGTGGCTTGTTAGTGGTGTGTCGTCACTGCAGTCCCTGTGAAATATCTCACTCATTAATTCTACTGCGTCAGTTTGATTTCATGTTGAAAACTGGCCCGCCCCACACTGGCATCAGTCTATCAGTGATCTTTTGCAGACATGATCCGGTTTTATCTGGTTTTATTGCGGTCAGCCAAGAAAATGGGGAGGGGAGCTAGATTTGTAATGCATTTTAGCTCTGTGTAAATCTGTGTTTTGTGTGTGTGTGTGTGTGTAGCTGGAGGCTGAAGCAGTGTTTCGAGCCGTCACGATTGCCAGTCAAACCAACTGTCCGCTGTATGTGACCCGCGTGATGAGCAAGAGTGCTGCGGACATCATCTCACAGGCCAGGAAAAAAGGTACTCAATATCACAATCAACTGGCTATTTCATCAAAAAATAAACTAATTAATTAATTGCATTTTTAAAAATCATTAAAAAAAAACATTTGCCCTTTAAACAATATCAATGTCTAATTTCTTTTTATTTTTTTTAATAATGGACATAATCTATTCTGATTTTAGTAGTCAATACCAGTGAAATTCCACAGTTCAGAAACACAGGTAACAGAACTAGTGGCAGGTCTGTAGTACTTGCAAGACTTAATGCGCAGATCTGTTTTGACACATCTGTTCATTTTTGTCAAACATCACAATTTCAGATTCAACTCACATTTTAATATAGTTGCACCTCCCGAAACTTTGCAGTGTGCACTTGGCAGAATGACTTCAAATGATGAAAAACCGAGCAAAGACACTCACTTTATTTTACTCACTGAGTGAAAACTCCCATTATAATGAAAACAATCTGTCTGTACAGCTCTATGAATCTTGGTTACGTCATGTTTATACTTTGTTTGTTACATTGAAACAATTTGCGACTTACTTCTGACTTGAAAGCCTCTGATTGGCCATTGCGCTCACATGCTCAAGTTTGAAAGCAGCTGCTGATTAGTCGCTTATTATGTTTTTGAAATTTAACTTATCAATTTGTAATATTTAGCGCATTTCATATATAATCGTGTGAATACAAACAATGTTCTGGAGGAGTTTCAGAGTGAGCTGAGCTAACAAGGTGCAGAACATGATGAAACGTCTGATAAAATAAGAAATCACAGCAGTGTGAGCGTGTTGGCAGCGTAACGTTTGAGCTTTCACAGATGTCGACAAGTTTACACATCTCGTCAGAGTTAAATAAACCTCTGTAGAGCTACGCTCATCTTTGACTTGTATGTTCACGACAGTAATGACCTTCAGTTGGATACATCTGTGTGGCATGTGTGTAAATAACAGTTTAATTATTATAAATTATAATATGCAGTTATTAAATTATTATTATTAATTTGTCATTTCATTATATATTAGCTGTCTGTACATTATTTGCACTCTGTGAAATGTTTATTTTATATGCACTGGCTGGTCTGTTGTAAAGGTTCCACAATCCATCATTATAATAGCTCTTGCTGTTTAGTTACTGTAAATCATTCAGATGCAGTGCTCTCAGTTTGGGAGATTCATACAGTGGCCTAACCAGATGCAACGCATATAAAAGGACTATTCCATGTAAAGAAGTTTTTGTCTTAACAAGTGGCACAGTTTTAGAGAAGTGTCAAGCATCAGGAGTACAGAAGCCAGCTGATTTAATTTTAGACAACATTTAACTATGGTTTTTCAAATGCAAGTAAATAAAACTGTAAAAGTTAAGGCTGTAAACGTATTCATTTTTTACAATTCACTTATTTGCATGATAAACTTATAGACTAGAAAACCATTGACTAAAAGTAATTGATTGAAAATATGAGAAACAATATAGTTGATATTTGAAGTTTATTGTAAAATATTTCACTGATGGACTCACCATGCATCCAAGGATTTTCCCTGCTTATGGCCAGAGATGCTGGGATACATTGAAAAAAAATGCATATACAAATGTATTAGTCATTGAATACAATTTGTTTCAACAATTTGTTCAAATATGCTGGGGCCTCATAAACGTGCATACACACAGATTTGATCTTAGAGTGTGTGTGCTCTAAAATCCACACCAACTTTCATATTTATAAAAAACAGTCTTTGACATGGAAAAGTGCTTAGGGCCAAGTCAGGGTCTAAGCAGGCGAACATACTTTTCGGTGTCCGAGTATTGCAGGTATCTGGAAATCAAAGCAATTCTTGCCGCTCGCCACTCTCAAGTAAAGGGTTTGGACGTTGACTAGAGCTCTGTTATATGTTAATGACATTAATTAGCGGGCGTCTACAAGGCAGAGATCTGAAACTATTCAGCTGCGCACAACTTCAAGATTATTTGCAATTTATGAATTTCACATCTGAAAGAGAGGCACAAAAAAACGTGCATACATTCATTCTCTGAATCACACATATGCACATTTGAGAAATGGTCAAACGATCGATGTAGGACCGTTTTTATGCAACATTTTATAAATGAGGCCCCTGTTATACAGAACAGAAACACTCTTGCTCGTGTGATACCACAACACATCATCTAAGACTGTATCTTATAGCTGTAGTATTTATCATTTTAGGCTAAATACCATCAATTTCAAAGTGTTGTCTGTTACATGGATACTCCGGTCAGTGAAGTAGTGTGATGTGTCTGTGTGTTTCAGTGGTGATCTGTCGGTGGTGGGCAGCGCTCACTGCACATTCTCTGTGGCTCAGAAGGCCATAGGGAAAGATGACTTCACTCAGATTCCTGAAGGAGTGAATGGAGCAGAGGAGAGGATGTCTGTCATCTGGGACAAGGCTGTTGTAAGGATCAAATCTAGTTGAAAATGTATCTGTGATTGCACATCAATTACAAGTTGATTCTACTTCACATCCTCAGATCCAGAAAATATAAAATACCTGAATTTTTACTCAGTACATTAACTCTTTCCCTGCCATTGACAGAATTTTCCAGCTTTCCATATTTTCACTGGTATACGGTAGGGGGCGCTATTACACATCTTCTAAAAAAATACTGAATCTCTGGATCAAACCATAGACTGTAAAAAAAATGGACGACGTGTGTCCACTTCCTTGCACTAAAGAAAAGTTGAGCCAAAACATCCCAGAATGGCCGGTGTCATCTTGCGCCAATGACGTCATTTGGAGTCAGAGTCTGCACAGTAGTGATTAATTTGGAGCCCGTGTCTGCGCAGTCCATTCTCTGTGGCTCAGAAGGCCATAGGGAAAGATGACTTCACTCAGATTCCTGAAGGAGTGAATGGAGCAGAGGAGAGGATGTCTGTCATCTGGGACAAGGCTGTTGTAAGGATCAAATCTAGTTGAAAATGTATCTGTGATTGCACATCAATTACAAGTTGATTCTACTTCACATCCTCAGATCCAGAAAATATAAAATACCTGAATTTTTACTCAGTACATTAACTCTTTCCCTGCCATTGACAGAATTTTCCAGCTTTCCATATTTTCACTGGTATACGGTAGGGGGCGCTATTACACATCTTCTAAAAAAAATACTGAATCTCTGGATCAAACCATAGACTGTAAAAAAAATGGACGACGTGTGTCCACTTCCTTGCACTAAAGAAAAGTTGAGCCAAAACATCCCAGAATGGCCGGTGTCATCTTGCGCCAATGACGTCATTTGGAGTCAGAGTCTGCACAGTAGTGATTAATTTGGAGCCCGTGTCTGCGCAGTCTGCGCACTAGTGATTCATTTGGAACCAGAGTCTGCACAGTAGTGAATCATTTGGAGCCTGAGTCTGCACAGTAGTGATTCATTTGGAGCCTGAATCTGCACAGTAGTGAATCATTTGGAGCCTTAATCTGCACAGTAGTGATTCATTTGGAGCCTGAGTCTGCACAGTAGTGAATCATTTGGAGCCTTAATCTGCACAGTAGTGAATCATTTGGAGCCTGAGTCTTCACAGTAGGGATTCATTTGGAGCCTGAGTCTGCACAGTAGTGAATCATTTGGAGCAAGAGTCTGCACAGTAGTGATTCATTTGGAGCCAGAGTCTGTGCAGCAGTGATTCATTTGAAGTCAGAAGCTGCACACTAGTGATTCATTTGGAGCCCTAGTCTGCGCAGTAGTGATTCATTTGGAGCCAGAGTCTGCGCACTATTGATTAATTTGAAGCCGTGATTCATTTGGAGCCTGAGTCTGTGCAGTAGTGACTCATTTGGAGCCTGAGTCTGCGCAGTAGTGATTCATTTGGAGCCTGAGTCTGCGCAGTAGTGATTCATTTGGAGCCAGAGTCTGCGCACTAGAGATTCATTTGAAGCCGTGATTCATTTGGAGCCTGAGTCTGCGCAGTAGTGACTTGTTCATAGCCCGAGTCTGTGCAGTAGTGAATCATTCGTAGCCCGAGTCTGCGCAGTAGTGATTCATTCATAGCCCGAGTCTGCACACTAGTGATTCATTTGGAGCCCTAGTCTGCGCACTAGTGATTCATTTGGAGCCAGAGTCTGCGCAGTAGTGATTCATTTGGAGCCTGAGTCTGCACAGTAGTGATTCATTTGGAGCTTGAGTCTGTGCAGTAGTGATTCATTTGGAGCCTGAATCTGCGCAGTAGTGACTCATTTGGAGCCTGAGTCTGCACAGTAGTGATTCATTTGAAGCCTGAGTCTGCGCAGTAGTGACTCATTTGGAGCCTGAGTCTGCACAGTAGTGATTCATTTGGAGCCTGAGTCTGCTCAGTAGTGATTACATTACCTTCTTCTCATAAGTGTACCATTAAAGCTCCAAAATAAAACAAGCACTGCGTTTGATTCTCATCTGTCTGTTTTTTCCTTTGCTTAGGTCACTGGCAAAATGGATGAGAACATGTTTGTCGCTGTGACAAGCACCAATGCTGCCAAGATCCTCAACCTTTATCCACGCAAGGGTCGGATAGCCGTGGGCTCTGACAGTGATCTGGTTATCTGGGACACAGACGCCACCCGGACCATCACTGCAAAAACACATCATTCTGTAGGTGCTCTTTAAATAAATCCAGTAAACGCACTATATACTCAAATTTCAGAGGACCATCTAAACATAGAGAGGGAACGGAACGGAACTGGCTGGCCTTCAAACTTTCAAACAAGGCTTTGTCAAGCCAACATCAAAGTTTGTTAGCAAACTTTACTCATCTAGTTACCATTGCAATGAATCTACAATTTGGACAATGACCATTTTTGTGTCACAGTCCAATAGAAGTTCTGAAGAACCTGCAGTGAGCAGTTTATGACCTCTTTCACCAAGCCATGAAAGTGTGCAGACGCTCGGACTCCATTCTTTCTTTTTTCCTCTTCCAAACCTCAGCATAAGAGCATTAAACTACTGATTGAAGAGCTACAGATTTCAGATTCAGGTGAGATGGGAACTGGAATTTCCTGAGCAGATACTACGAGGGCTAAATATGTGGATCGCTTGAAAACCATTGGGGGAAAGATTCAGCAGAACTCGGGCACTGCCAAAATTACATCACATTTTCATTTCCTTTTCGGCCACTTCTCTAGAGACCATTACACATCCAAACAGCACTGGCTGCCATGGATTTCAACTGTGGATAACATGGCTGGTGTTTATTGATTGTTTATTCTGTGACTCCGTATCCTTGGTTCCCATGCTCTGTGAAATCACCTAAAACATGACTTCATCACCTGCCAGAAAGCCTTGCGTTTGCCAGCGTTCTTGACAGATGTTTTGTGGATGTAATTTCCTGTTCTTGCGCACAAAGGATGGACGAGTGCAAAATGCAAAGACTGTGGATCATGGCCAGACATCACAACAATTACGAAATCTACTAGAGAAGAGGAAAGTAGGGGAGTAGTAAACTAGACAGAAGTGATATGCTGGTTAGAGAGAGGGCTGACAAAAGACAGGAGGCTGTGAGTGTGAGAAAAAGACGAGGAAATAGAGAAAGATGTTTTTGTCATTCCTCTATCCAGCTGTTTGGCGAAGAGATGAAGAATGAGAACGAGAGTGAATGAAGGAGGCCAGAGCCGTATCTCACTCTCCTACATATGATCTCCTGTTGTTGACGTTTCTCTTTGCAGAAGCTCAAACTTAAAACGACTGTTTGTGTCAAGAGTTTATGTTGGAAAGCACAGCATCTCAATGTCATGTTGGATGATTTTGATGTTTTTCGAAACTTCTATGCATCTGAAATCACCTAAAACATGACTTCATCACCTGCCAGAAAGCCTTGCGTTTGCCAGTGTTCTTGACAGATGTTTTGTGGATGTCATTTCCTGTTCTTGCGCACAAAGGATGGACGAGTGCAAAATGCAAAGACTGTGGATCATGGCCAGACATCACAACAATTACGAAATCTACTAGAGAAGAGGAAAGTAGGGGAGTAGTAAACTAGACAGAAGTGATATGCTGGTTAGAGAGAGGGCTGACAAAAGACAGGAGGCTGTGAGTGTGAGAAAAAGACGAGGAAATAGAGAAAGATGTTTTTGTCATTCCTCTATCCAGCTGTTTGGCGAAGAGATGAAGAATGAGAACGAGAGTGAATGAAGGAGGCCAGAGCCGTATCTCACTTTCCTACATATGATCTCCTGTTGTTGACGTTTCTCTTTGCAGAAGCTCAAACTTAAAACGACTGTTTGTGTCAAGAGTTTATGTTGGAAAGCACAGCAGCTCAATGTCATGTTGGATGATTTTGATGTTTTTCGAAATGTCTATGTATCAGAGAGTCTATTCTGAAAAAAGAAGATATTGCGGTTTCCATGAAAACATGAAATTGAGCAGCAAATCAGCATATTAGAATGATTTCTGAAGGATCATGTGACACTGAAGTCTGGAGTAATGATGCTGAAAATTCAGCGTTGCATCACAGGAATAAATTACATTTTAACATATATTTCACATAGAACACAGCTATTTTTAATTGTAATAATATTTCACAATTTTACTGTAGTTTTGTTTAAATAAATGCAGTTTATTTATGTGATTCAAATGCAGTTCAGTTAATTGGATAAAAAGCCAATGTGCAAATTGAAGGCTATAAAAATAAATCACTGTAGGCTTCATTATATGCACAAAATGGATAAAAATATAAATATTACATCATAAAAAAACAGCCATGGTACAACCATAGTACAGGTCATGACCTCTTTCACCAAGCCATGAAAGTGTGCAGACGCTCGGACTCCATTCTTTCTTTTTTCCTCTTCCAAACCTCAGCATAAGAGCATTAAACTACTGATTGAAGAGCTACAGATTTCAGATTCAGGTGAGATGGGAACTGGAATTTCCTGAGCAGATACTACGAGGGCTAAATATGTGGATCGCTTGAAAACCATTGGGGGAAAGATTCAGCAGAACTCGGGCACTGCCAAAATTACATCACATTTTCATTTCCTTTTCGGCCACTTCTCTAGAGACCATTACACATCCAAACAGCACTGGCTGCCATGGATTTCAACTGTGGATAACATGGCTGGTGTTTATTGATTGTTTATTCTGTGACTCCGTATCCTTGGTTCCCATGCTCTGTGAAATCACCTAAAACATGACTTCATCACCTGCCAGAAAGCCTTGCGTTTGCCAGCGTTCTTGACAGATGTTTTGTGGATGTAATTTCCTGTTCTTGCGCACAAAGGATGGACGAGTGCAAAATGCAAAGACTGTGGATCATGGCCAGACATCACAACAATTACGAAATCTACTAGAGAAGAGGAAAGTAGGGGAGTAGTAAACTAGACAGAAGTGATATGCTGGTTAGAGAGAGGGCTGACAAAAGACAGGAGGCTGTGAGTGTGAGAAAAAGACGAGGAAATAGAGAAAGATGTTTTTGTCATTCCTCTATCCAGCTGTTTGGCGAAGAGATGAAGAATGAGAACGAGAGTGAATGAAGGAGGCCAGAGCCGTATCTCACTCTCCTACATATGATCTCCTGTTGTTGACGTTTCTCTTTGCAGAAGCTCAAACTTAAAACGACTGTTTGTGTCAAGAGTTTATGTTGGAAAGCACAGCATCTCAATGTCATGTTGGATGATTTTGATGTTTTTCGAAACTTCTATGCATCAGAGTCTATTCTGAAAAAAGAAGATATTGCGGTTTCCATGAAAACATGAAATTGAGCAGCAAATCAGCATATTAGAATGATTTCTGAAGGATCATGTGACACTGAAGTCTGGAGTAATGATGCTGAAAATTCAGCGTTGCATCACAGGAATAAATTACATTTTAACATATATTTCACATAGAACACAGCTATTTTTAATTGTAATAATATTTCACAATTTTACTGTAGTTTTGTTTAAATAAATGCAGTTTATTTATGTGATTCAAATGCAGTTCAGTTAATTGGATAAAAAGCCAATGTGCAAATTGAAGGCTATAAAAATAAATCACTGTAGGCTTCATTATATGCACAAAATGGATAAAAATATAAATATTACATCATAAAAAAACAGCCATGGTACAACCATAGTACAGGTCCAAAAAAAAAAAAGCATTGCACTGTAGTGGTCATTTTTGGTTCACATGTGTTACATACATGACATGTTCTTGTGTTGTTCTAGGCAGCGGAGTATAATGTGTTCGAGGGCATGGAGCTGAGAGGTGCGCCCATGCTGGTCATCTGCCAGGGCAAGATTGTTCTGGAGGACGGGAACCTGCACGCGACCGCTGGCACTGGACGTTTCATTCCCTGCTCCCCGTTTCCGGACTTCACTTACAAACGCATCAAAGCCAGGAAACAGGTACAGCAGACCCTGATGACCCTGGACACATGCGTGACAGTAGTTCATTTGTTTTTACAGTGCATTCAAGGCAGCACTGTATTGAAATTCCAGTTTTATTCCTTTTTTTCTCCATCGTTTTCTGCAGTTTCCTCTAGGAAAGTCAAATTTAGTTGTTAGTGTATTTTTGTGTTGAATCAGTTTGTTTTTTCCATTTTTGTCCACTGTTTATTTTAATCTAGCAAATCTCCAAAATATCTTGCTTACATTGTACAAAAAGAGATGATAGTGCCTTTCTCAACAATCTGTCAGCCAAATCTGGAACCAGTTTCCAAGACAACATGAAATTTACAATTTACGCGAGCACACAGTTCCCAAAAACAATCCTCATGAGGATAAACGCATCCATGGAATGTAGTTGCAAACACCCAAACTTCCCTTTCTCTGTCTTTCTCTATAAATGTTATGCTGCACAATCCTGTATTAAACTGAAGCGCTGTGTTTGGGTTTCTCCTAAAGCTGGCCATACTGAAGGCGGTCCCCAGAGGCATGTATGACGGCCCCGTGTCTGAATTTTCACCCATGTCGAGGGGCGGCACACCATCTGCCTCCACCCGTACCTCACCCACCAAAGCCCCTCTAAGGAACCTCCATCAGTCTGGCTTCACACTGTCAGGTAAGTAGAGCTTAGAGCTACAGTAGCAATGCCAAGATCATGGGTTTGATTCTCAGGGAATGCATGAACTGATAAACAAAAAAATCTTAAAATGCAATTTAATTCGCTTTGGATAAAAGCTAAATGCATGAATGAAATACAACAGATGCAGAACCCAGCATTAATCCATAAAATGTTTGGTTATTTCCACAATGACAAGTGTAAATATATGCAATAATGAACTCTTATATAAACTTTTATTCTTGTTTACATCTCGCATCTCACATCTTACATCTTATTTTTTCTATAAAGGTAATTGCAACTTTTTATCTCAAAATTGCAAATTTTATTATATCTTGTAATTCTTAAGAATAAGTCAGAATTTTGGGGTAAAAAGTAGCAGTTTCTAAAATTGTATTATCTTGTGGTGGAAACAGGCTTCCATAGAAATATGTTGACAAAAATGCACAAAACAAAATCCCAAAACATTGTGAATGTTCAGTAACAGGGTTGTTGAACATGTTTTGAAAGATAATTTTTTTTCTCTCTCTTAGTACATAATGAAAATATAATGCATATTTTAAAAAGACAATAAACATGAATGTTCTGTCTTAACACACAGTTTCTGCTGATCTCATGTCAATCTTGAGTACCTGTATAGAGTAGTGCTGCATCCTTCATATCTCCGAGACTTTAGTTTGATCAGATTTATAAAAGACAGATACAGCTTTACGCTTCTCTCTGAAAACAGTCGAGCTCCTGGAGGTGTGCTGTGGGCGGAGCTAAAGAGTCACGAGCACACGTAGCTTTTGCGTAGCGATCGTCTGCAAGCTGTGACATCAACAAATAAAACCGGGACAAAAATTTTTATTTAATTGATTTATAAAAAAACACACTTGCACAATTCTGTTGTTGTCCCGGAGAAACAAACTGCATCCACTGTTCCCTTAATGCTGGGTTCTTTGGGAAGCTGAACAAGGTTCCCTTTCGATACTACACTCGTACTGCGTCTTGCTAGACGCATATGGGAAAAAGCCTTTTTTTCCTCCTGAACTGAAGCCTTTTTTCATTCACGTAGTGAAACTGAACGGCCATTGGTTCGTGCAGTGTATTAAAAACAAACCAATGGCTAGGCAGCGGAGCTGCACAAGCCTACGACGACGAAGCCCGCCAAAGCCTGCCAAAGCCCGCCAGAATGGGCAGGGCATCTGAGCAGGGCATCTATATAAGCGGGCGTTCACCACAGGATTCTCAGATTTCTTCTCCTTCAGCGACGACTCTACGCTCATCGCTGATCCTGAAAGCCTGCTCGCCATTGACACGCCTCGCAGCTGGACTGAGACCTCCCTGCTTGGCTGACTGGCTCTCTTCACGCCTCAGCTTCACAGCAGTTCCAGTCCTGTTCCCCTGCCGCCATCCGGCGATTTTGAAAGAGCTTATTTCTAGCAGGTAAGCCCTAAAAGAGCAAATTATAGCGACGTTGTTGCAAATGTCGTGCTGCGATTGTGACTCGTGCAGGCAATCGTGCACAATGCAGAAGGGCAGTGAGTGCATCACCTGTCTGGGCAGCCCCCATGCTGAGACTGCTTGCTCACTGAGACGGAATGCTCTTGTTGAAAGCATGAGTCTCGCTCTTCTCCACTCGTGGACCGCCTTCACTGAAGGTAGCCCCGCTCTCCCGTTTCTCCTCTCTCAGTGAGCCTTGGAGAGGGAAACAGCGGAGTCAGGGAATAAGCAACCGGGTTGACCAATCTCATGCCGGCACTGTGCCTGCATGCTCTCTCTCCCTGTTGCACTCGGATCTGCCGCAGAAGGGCAGTGAGCTGCGCGCTTACTGAGACAGAATGCTCACTCAGAGCATGAGTCTCACTCTTCTCCACTCGTGGAAGGGCAGCCCGCTCTCCCGTTTCTCCTCTCTCAGCAAGCCTCGGAGAGAGAAACAGCGAAGCCTGGGAACTAAGCAACCGAGTCTGAGTGATCTCACGCCAACACAGAGCCTGTGTACTCGCTCTCCCCGCTGCGTTTCGATCCGTGTCTCACACGTAGGGATCAGCGTCCCTCTTTACACCGAGCGGCTCTATCCTTCTAAGTAGGGTGGAGCAGATGCTGCCACTGGCAGCTTCGAATTGTGTGTGTCACTATGACTGCACTCACAGACACGGGCTGCTTTTACCACGAAAGCAGTCTGCCCCTGTTCGATCGCGTAAGATGGCCCCGCCTCCCCGCTCTCATGTTTCTCTCGTCCCAGTTACCTCGGAGGCAGAAATGACAAACTCGCGGGTATGAACGATCAGGCTTGAGTGATTTAATGCCAAAGACTTAAACTACTTCAGTCTGTGTGCATTGAATTTATTTAATACACGAGTTTCACAATTTGAGTTGAATTACTGAAATGATTTTTTCCACGACATTTATTGAGATGCACCTGTATGACGCAGTGTTAATTTTGACAGGCATTTTTTTTGTCTTAGTCTTTATCTTGAGACGAAAATGCTTAATAGTCTTAGTCACATTTTAGTCATTTGAGTAAAGTTTTAGTCTAGACTTCGTTACTAGTCTTTCATAGTTTTAGTCGACGAAAAGTAATTGCATTTTTGTCAACTTTTAGTCATTACTTTGTCAAACTTCAGTTACCAATATTTATTTTGGTAGCTATTTTATATGTAGTCTTAAAACAAAAATAGTCATTAATTCTTCTCTCTTTAGACCAAATCAATTAAGCTTATGAGAAATTTGAATCAAGGATTGAATTTGGAAAAACTTGAATAAATTATGACAATTTTCATTTTTGGATGAACTATCACTTTAACAGTAGTGAAAAGGGAGCAAATTATAGTTGTTCATATATAATATAGGCCTATATAATTAAAAATTTTTGAAAAAGTAGCAGAATAAGACAAATACAAAAGATATACAAATTAAACTTAACATATTTAATTAACATCTTTTGTTGGTTAACGGATAGTTAATGACACGGATAGGTACTTAATTAGGAATGCTGTCCCTTTAAGACGGAAGGCATGCGTGTAATACTGACACACATTCAGTTCCCTTTCGATACTACACTCATACTGCGTCTTGCTAGATGCAAATGGGAAAAAAAACTTTTTTCTCCTGAACTGAAGCCTTTTTTCATTCACGCAGTGAAACTGCACGGCCATTGAATCGTGCAGTGTATTAAAAACGAACCAATGGCTAGGCAGCAGAGCTGCACAAGACAAAGCCCGCCAGAATGGGCGGGACATCTGATTATATAAGCGGGCATTCGCCACAGGATTCTCAGATTTCTTCTCCTTCAGCGACGACTCTACGCTCATCGCTGATCCTGAAAGCCTGCTCGCCATTGACACGCCTCGCAGCTGGACTGAGACCTCCCTGCTTGGCTGACTGGCTCTCTTCACGCCTCAGCTTCACAGCAGTTCCAGTCCTGTTCCCCTGCCGCCATCCGGCGATTTTGAAAGAGCTTATTTCTAGCAGGTAAGCCCTAAAAGAGCAAATTATAGCGACGTTGTTGCAAATGTCGTGCTGCGATTGTGACTCGTGCAGGCAATCGTGCACAATGCAGAAGGGCAGTGAGTGCATCACCTGTCTGGGCAGCCCCCATGCTGAGACTGCTTGCTCACTGAGACGGAATGCTCTTGTTGAAAGCATGAGTCTCGCTCTTCTCCACTCGTGGACCGCCTTCACTGAAGGCAGCCCCGCTCTCCCGTTTCTCCTCTCTCAGTGAGCCTTGGAGAGGGAAACAGCGGAGTCAGGGAATAAGCAACCGGGTTGACCGATCTCATGCCGGCACTGTGCCTGCATGCTCTCTCTCCCTGTTGCACTCGGATCTGCCGCAGAAGGGCAGTGAGCTGCGCGCTTACTGAGACAGAATGCTCACTCAGAGCATGAGTCTCACTCTTCTCCACTCGTGGAAGGGCAGCCCGCTCTCCCGTTTCTCCTCTCTCAGCAAGCCTCGGAGAGAGAAACAGCGAAGCCTGGGAACTAAGCAACCGAGTCTGAGTGATCTCACGCCAACACAGAGCCTGTGTACTCGCTCTCCCCGCTGCGTTTCGATCCGTGTCTCACACGTAGGGATCAGCGTCCCTCTTTACACCGAGCGGCTCTATCCTTCTAAGTAGAGTGGAGCAGATGCTGCCACTGGCAGCTTCGAATTGTGTGTGTCACTATGACTGCGCTCACAGACACGGGCTGCTTTTACCACGAAAGCAGTCTGCCCCTGTTCGATCGCGTAAGATGGCCCCGCCTCCCCGCTCTCATGTTTCTCTCCTCCCAGTTACCTCGGAGGCAGAAATGACAAACTCGCGGGTATGAACGATCAGGCTTGAGTGATTTAATGCTGGCAAAGCCCACACATGCATCACTCTCCACGTAGCTCTTTGATCTGCCAGTGTGTTTACACATGAGGATCGGTGCCCCTCATTGTCGAGCGGTTCAATCCTCCTGGGCAGTTTGGTGCAGAACGCTGTCACCAATGATTCAGTATCGCTGACAGCTTTGTATTTGAACGTGCCTCTCGCCTAGGCCACGGCCATGCCCACGCTGAGGCTGCGCTGCTGAGACAAAGCCCTGCCTGCCTGGAATTCGGGCCTAATGACACTAAAGTAGTCCTCTCCACTCCGTTCAGAGCACATATACAACTGTAAACACACTTGTTTGGTGACTGTTGATTTCGTGGTCTAAAACACAAAATGACAAATCCTTCTGGAGTCCTGTGCAGTGCTGCAGACGACTTCTGTAACCCGAGTGAACCATGTTGATGGGCTGCTCTTGTGCCTTGTCCAAATACCCGGTCTTTGCACTTACCCACTTGACTACTTATATGACGTATTTCCTGTATTTGGTTCAAGTGTTCAAGTGAGCATGAAGACCACAAGTGTGTGTAGAAATTTTCATTACCTGACGGGACACACTTATAGTGTTGTAAAAATGCAAGTGTTTTTTCAGAGCTTTATTTTTATTTTCGATACTTTGCATTTTAAAATCAACTTCTAAATGTCTGTTTAGTAGTCCCTATAACAGATGACACAATTTAATTTTGTGGTGCTTACTCCCCTTACTCCAAAACTACTCATTTGCACCAATAATGCGTGCAACTCTTTGTTTTACTACCAAATTATATGTAGAATTAATATTTAACATACATTGGAAAGGTTTTCGTGACTTCTCGCAAGATCTCGGCAAAGTCTCACGATTTATTTCCAGAACATGATGCATGATGGGATACACTAAGCCTTCAGTACTGCTCCGGAGCAGATTTAGTGTGCGTTAAGGGCACTGTGCTTTTGGACAAGGCATTGCTCTCGCTGTGGTTGATGCACGGGCTCTTCCAGGAGAAGTGCCCAGACAAGGATTTCCGCCTTTCATGACGTCATACAAAACTTTCAGAAACTTATACCAACTCTGAAGGAGTGTTTGGCACAGAAATACTTCGTCATACGTCCAACTCGTTTTTTGGAACTTTGGCCATGTTTAGCATTAGAACTCATTAACAGCGTAAATAAGTCAGAATGCATGAAATAGCATAAGTACACAGTCTTGCTTTTGTCTTTTTGTCTGAAAAACGTTTTGCTTCACATCAAAGTTTGTACAGCTGTGATTCGCCTCGTGGCTGGTTGGTTTGGTTAAAGGCTTCTAGCGCTTTAACGAAGACGGTTTTTATATCTCGTGTTTCTCCATAGGTCCTGAAGAAGCCCCCATCAGACCGGCTGGAAGACGTATCGTTGTGCCCCCCGGTGGCCGCTCCAATATCATCTCCCTCAGTTAAATATGAAGAGCATGTAAGAGAGAGGCCAGGATCAAATCAGCCGTGTAGAAGTAAGGTGATTAGTCAGGAAACGAAACAAAAGAAGCATAAAACACTGAACTCATGCCTTACCCTCCATGATTTCCTCCTGATGAGTGACTGAAGATCAGTAGTCCATCTCTGAGAAAGCAAAGCATTTAGTATAGTGTTACATTTATTTGTGTGTTTAGATAAACTCAATTAGAAGACATTAGAATTACCGTAAAAACAACTTTCGTTTGGATATTCTGCGATGTTTATGAAAGGAAACAGTTGAATTTTTCAGGCGTTTGCGTTCGGTAAGGAAGGACTACTGTCGTGTGTTTCATAGAGCTTCGTCTGTATTCCCTCATAAGCTTTATTTGCGTACATCAGCTGTGATTATGATAGTTAATGTTACTTTGTAAATGAAGTGTCGAGCATTTTTTTTAAAGTATAATAAAGCTGAATGTTAAGGAAAAACATGCAATGATATACAAGTGCAGAATATTACAGGACATTTACATACATTCACATACTGTACTGCTTTCATTATCCGTCTCACGGAAGATATGAAAAACAATATGCATCCGTCATGTGAAGAAATAGCTGAACTTCAGTCGAACACAATGAACCTCGAAAAAGGAAAAATAAACAACTTCTTGACAAAATTAATGATGAAAACAAAACAAAGACTGCAGGAGAAAGATATTCACCTTTTGCATTTTAGTTCAAGCTCAAATTATTAAAGGATGATTAACAAAGTATTGGAATAAGTTTTTGATATCTCAATCTTTCATGCGACTTTGGTCTGGTTGAGGAGGAAAGCTCTTGGTTAATGGAAAGAGACAGTTCAACACACTGATGCCCTCAATAACAATGGTATAAAGAGATGTACCGATTGATGTGGAATAGGTTGTTTATTATATTTATGTAGGTTTGATTATATTTCCTTTCTTTTTTTAACATCTGAGTCAAAAAAGCAGGTGAAAATGAACGTGTGATGTGCAAAATTTGTTCCTCAATAAACACAAGTTACAACTGACTGCCTGTGAATGATTTGCTCTGTATATTTATCACCTCACGGTACAAGGAAATCAGAACTACTAAAACATACACAGACATAAAATTAACATCTGCTAATCACTTGAGGAAATTAAATGACATAATTGTTACAAATGCATGGGAAGTATGACCAATGACGATGTACAGCAGAGGCTGGCTGTAAACATCACATGTGCATCTGAAATGTTCATTACATGTCCTCGTTAGGGAAAATGCTCTTGAAATTATTCTCTTTAAAAGCGACTGCATGAGGGCGTTTTCATGCAGCTCTCAAATCCCCCAAATAAATGTCGCATTTTGCATTTGTACAATAATACAGAATTTTGGAAAACAAATTCTAATTGTTCGGTGATGCTATCAAGTTATCAAGTGCAATTAGCTGTATATTCCATAATAACAACAACAATACAAATAATATATAAAGCAGGTGATATTAAATTGTTTAAATTTAGTTTAACTTGATGTTTTAAAAAAACAATATCAGAATTATTGTTGCTGTTCAACAGCATCGTGGGTAGATTGTCTGTAATATTTCATATTCACCCGACCACTAGATGGCGATATTGATTAATTGTTGTATTATTTCCACCAAACTAAAAAAAAAAGAACTTGCACTGTAAAAAAAAAAGGTATGGGAAAGGTACTGGTAAATTTCTGCCAGGATATTATGATTTAAGTTTATGGACTTTTTCTTTAGCTCTAAAACACAAAGCAATGTGTAACATAAAACACTTCATATTAACGCAGTATATTAGGCCCTATGTGTATACAGACCTCAGATGAAAATGAACTGTATTTATGTTATAAATCTATCTTTTCTATTATAAATGAGCCAGCTTTGTGTGAATATTCCTAGGCTATGCAAACCTTAGTCAGACTTGTCAGATGATGCAATTAAATTATTTTATTATTATTTGATCTGTACAGTGTGGTCAATATCTCAATTCAGCAGCACAATCCAGCAATGAATCTCCAAAAACGCTAAATAATGCGCTCAGTGGCATGAATGACAGAATTCTGCAGCTCCGTAAGGTTCACATTTACATCATTTGAATGAATCACATAATGAGGTGAAATGAACATCTTTGCATTCTGTTCTCTGCGTTTGTGTGTTAACAAGAGCAGCTTTATAAATCATGGCGAACGGCTGGAGTCTGATCGCTCGCTGAATCAGACAACGGTAAACCTTCACGTGCCTCCAAGGGAATCAGGGAAATTAAAGAAATCCATTAAACTAGTAAGGCACACATTTCACAGTCAGGTGCAGAGAGCATCATCATTCAGTTATTTCTTTATGCATGTGATTGTGTAGTCAGCCGGTCACTAAACCAGCGTACGCTGTCAGTTAATTCAGAGCGTGAGGTTCACACCAGGTTAATGCTTCCATCCAGAATCCGTGATGTTCCAGTCTCCCAGTATGGATTTTCTCATGCATTTGCTGGAGTCCATGGCTGCATCCGCCGTCAGCTTCGAGTGAAGGAGGAACACTGTGGCAGGTCCAGATGTTAACTTGATAAACAATGCTGTACGTTGTTGTTCTGTCCATCTTGAATGGCTTTGTTCGTCTCGTCTGCACTGAGGTTGTTGGTCTCAGCGTCTGCTTTGGTTTTCCTCAACCTCCAAAACAGAGAAAGGGCAACAAATCTAGTCATGCAAAAGTTTCACAGCGTTACAAAATGTGGAGTTGTTACCTCAAGGCAAGGTTATTGCAGTTAAGGGATTAGTTCACTTCCAGAATAACAATTTCCTGATAATTAAAAACAACAGAAATTAAAATTAATACATATAGACAAAAATTCTAATAAAAAAAATCACAGAAACACAACAAAATTACTGAACGTTTACCTAAAATTAAAATGGAAAATCCAAAAATAAAAACAAATTTATATATATATATATACACACACACATACATATATACATGACTTTACATTTTAACTGCGTTTTTACTTCTCTTTGACTCATTGTGCTTCTCTTTAAAATGAGAATTTTCATTAACTTCCTGCAATTAAATGCTTTGACAATCAGGTTGTAAATGTGTTTAATATAAAACTGCATTTTGACTAAAGGAATTATGTTATTTAATAATAATTAAAAAAAAATATATATATTTACATTGGAGACAGATGCATGAAACTGTACATGACTATTAAACTGTCAAAATATGTCTTACTTTTCCCTGTTGAAGACGATGAAATCTCTTTGGACAGTCTCTAAGCGCAGCTGGAGTTGCCCATTCTGTGTAATCAAAAGAAAAGAATGAGGAAATGTTTCACAAGAAATACTACTAAGTGAATGGCATGTGAAATAAGCAGGGTCATAACCAACATAAATGCTGAAGGGGACAAATTCCCCTCTGATAATGGAACATGGACTTCATTCATTCTGCAGCGGTCTAACAGCGCTCGTCAATGTCAAAATGATTGAGATGGCCAATCAAATCAAAGAAGGCGGGGTTTAACGATGAAAGAGTGTGAGGTAAGATATAAGTAACTTTGTTTTGTCAAATATTGCTTTTGAAAATACACTATATCCTTTATGTAATAAATGTAATGTTATTCGTAAATAAGAAAAGAAACATTAAAGGGATACTTCACCCAAAAATGAAAATTAGCCCATGATTTACTCACCCTCAAGCCATCTTAGGTGTGTATGACTTTCTTCTTCCAGACGAATGCAATCAGTTATATTAAAAATGTCCTGGCTCTTCCAAGCTTTATAATGGCAGTGAATGGGTGTCGAGATTTTGAAGCCCAAAAAAGTGCATTTGTGTAAGAAAAGTATCCATATTTAAAACTTTATAAACCGTAATCTCTAGCCTCCGCTTACTGTCGTACGCATGTTCACGCGAGATGATGTAGCACGTAGGCAAACGCAGTGACAAACGCGGAAGCACAGAGAAGAGAACAAAACACCGGTCACGAATTAGAAGTACAAAACGAGGATTTGTAAAGAAAAATGTCGGAGGATTTCGATAGAAGCCAAGAGGAGACTGGTTTTCCTTTGCTGTAAACAAAACTTGGTTCTTGTGAGTCTACACAAACGCATCGATTCAGAAGGCCTTTATTAACCCCCGGAGCCGTGTGGGACACTTTTTATAATGGATTGATGCAGTTCTTGGGCTTCAAAATCTCAACACCCATTCACTGCCATTATAAAGCTTGGAAGAGCCAGGACGTTTTTAAATATAACTCCGATTGCATTCGTTTGAAAGAAGAAAGTCATATACACCTAGGATGGCTTGAGGGTGAGTAATTCAATGGTTAATTTTCATTTTTGGGTGAACTATCCCTTTAACAGAGCGGTTTAGGCATATTAGGCATATGGATAAGAATCAAAGTGAATATTTAAAAATAAAAATATATTATTTTCGGTTTGGTTCAAATGCTCACCATATTCAAGTTCTTTTATTATCTTTCTTTATTCTCTTTAAATTCTTTGTTTAATTCATTTAAATAAAAGGACAGCATCGGCCTCCCAAACCCAAACTTGGAGTGGCAACATATTAAAATAAAGCATAAATTTAAAATTTTAAATAATGTCTTGAAATAAATTATAAATAAATGCAAAGTTCTGTCATGAAACTCTAGATGGCACAGGCTGATAAGTCCTTTATCTGTAAGTAATCACATCATTATCTACACAGCGCAGCTGATTGGTCTGTGTTGCATCGGCAGCCAATGAGGTTGCAACATTCAAATACTTGACCAGTGTTTGCAGCGCGCTTTCAGAAAGCATCTGAAATCAACATCTAAGATAAGTGAATGCTCTTTTACTCCATATCGCTGTGCATATTGCTTGGTCTGCCATATTAATTCCCAAATGAGCAATCATGAACAAGTTTTAAATTTTGCATTCGATGCAAAAGTGAATGACTAAACATAAGGAGCAGCATTTCTGCGACTGTGTTTATGCAGCTGCAGCAATAAGCGGTTTATTGCATGTGATTGTTGTGAGGTACGCCGACTGAGCTACGGATATGAGAACAGCTTCATCTGAAATAATAATTTGCACTCAATACATTTTTAACCTCAATGGCGCATTCATTTATTTATAAACATGAAAATAATTCCATAATGCCAGGCCTTTAAAGAACTGAAAATATTTTAGTGTTCACACTTTACAACCAGTGCAATTGCAGTCAGGATAAAGTGTTTGTTCTCACATTTCTGACAAATAGAATATTTCAGAGCTTGCCACAACTATTATAAATTCATATTCATTTTAGAAACTGACATGCATTTTCCATGTCTGGGAATCATACTTTTAAAATTTCCTCAGTTGCCAGATTTCCCAAGACCATGACCGCTAACAAGTCTTGATTTTTAACCTTTTTATTTTGTTTTAAATCTTAGTTTGTCTTATTGACTTTCCATCTTTAAAAGGCACTCTTACATATGAAAGCTAAATGGACTAAAAGCCACTGAAGTGTGAATTTACGGGGCATGTTCATAGTCTTCTGAATTTTGTGTTGTTTTGTCGGGTCAGTGCAGGTCAGGGAAGTGTTATCAGTTTGACTGAAGCTTCCAGACGATGAGTTTGCCCTGCTGCACTAGCTGTCTTGCAGATTTGTCGCTGACTACAGGTGCAACAACAGCAGGCTGTCAGAAAACCAGACAGGAGCAGGAGCAAGCACAATGACAACACTTCATGACGATCAAGCAACCAGAAGTCAGTCATGCATCCTGCAGAGCTTTCTCTTTCGTCAGGAGGTCTGAAGTCACATATTTCATGAAAAATGTGTTCACAGACCAATATACGAGGTATGTAAGCATTCAGTGATTCCAATGGATTTCATTTGACATTTTTTACATTCAGCTCTGGTCACTGGAGGGACAAACTGCACCTTTGCTTTACACTGTTAGAAAAGAAAAAAATAACTCTTTTCCCAGTGTATAGAATGGTACTTTTATGGGCAAGAAAAATTATTTATTGTCAAATTAGAATGACACCTTTTGTATTTGATCAGCACACTTCCAAGGGAG